GAGATAACCATAGAAAGTACAGTAGAAGAAACTAATCTTATTACTAAATCCATTCTTCTCTTCCTGAACACATGATCTCTCATTGCAACTAACTGTGTTCATATGATTGAGTTTAGGATTGAGAGTGATGAACATCACATACATTTCTGTCTAATATAAACTTCATGCTTGGAATCCATTATGAACTTTTTCCATGTAGCTTGATCCAGATGAAAACCAACATTGAGGGGCTGGGGTTGTGGCTAAGTGGTAGAGTGTTTGCCTAGCATATGTGAAGCACTGGGATTGAGTCTCAGCACCACATATAAATAAATAAAGGTCCATAATAAAATTTTTAAAAAAGAAAAATAAAACCAACATTGAAGGGAGTAATGTGTGGAAAATGCTTTTGTGACAAGACAGAAGGAGTCTAGGACTATGAATCCTCAAGTGGARTTGAATAGTCTTTTAATTAGGAATGTGCATTTTATATTTTATATGAAGGAGAAGGAAACATCTACTATATCTATTCAATAAAGTATTGGGGGTTATCTGTAAATGCAATTAATTTTACAGTAAATAATGTACAGCTAAACAGCAAAAGACTTTTCAATTGTGTACAGTTAATTACCGAGTCTCTCATTTAGAGACAAGCTAATCAGGTTTAAGAATATTCACTGTTATTTTATGTGGAATGAGAAGCTGAAAATTGTAAGTGAGGAGATTATATGTATAGGGTGGTAGTGAAAATGTGTCTTAAGATCAGTCTGTCTGTTATCATTGTGGAAAGATAATTAAATGAATCCCAGGAGATGAATATATCTTGGACTTCGGGGTGAACTGTGGAAATGGAAAGATATTTCTGTATTAAAGACATCTTTAGCAGATCAAATCTAGAGAACTTGGTAATAGTTGAAACAACAGAGTTGAGGTGAGGTTAAGGTCAAGGATGTGGCCCTGCTTTATCAGTTGAATCTGTCCTTGTTTGGTCACATTGTTACCTGAGATAGGAAACCTTGGAGGAATACCAGGTTTGGGGGTGGATTAAGAAAAGAACTTAATCTCAGATTTGAACATGTCAATTCTGAGGAAATTTAGGGATATTTAAATGGAGATCAAATTTATTTGGTAGTTGGGTTATGACAGTAATAAAGGAAATAAAAGGAATGAAAACAAGTCTAATCTAAACTCCATTTAGTGTTATTTTATAAAGAATCCATGATGGTGAACCCTGAGGACACAGTATATAGTTTTAATTGTTAAAACTAGTTATTTGGATGATTTAATGCTTAGTTACAATGCCTATTAGAACAACTTTCATGTCATCCTACTGGGAATTTCTGAGAAACCTTAAGAGAATTTCAAGAAAATTTAAAGAATGGATGTGCAATATAAGAAAATAAATACTATCATTGGAGTTTCTCTTGACAATTGTATTTAAGTACTATTGCTTCTTTCTGTGATTTCTATATTACTTTCAGAAAATGAGCCTACTTCCAATTTTCCAATATTTAAAGGAACTAGGTGAGAATGCAGGAATTTTATAATTTAATTATCATTTTATCAAAAGAGATCAAAATTTTAGGTAATAAATTAAAATCCTAGACAAATATTTTAAAGCAGCAACTCAAATCTAGGCAGATAAAAATAAATGCCCATCAGAACATGTGTATTTCAGTTATCATTTTTGCTGTTACAGTAACAATTGCTGGGAAGTTTTCCATTAACAAAAAATAAATAAAAATTGGAAAATTCAGCACTAGTCATAAGAAAAATATATTCAGTTTTGTAATGTGAGAAGTTTTCTTGAGACATAGTTATTATGTTTAAATATCACACTGTAACTTTCCAGAATGAGAAACTGTGATTTAAGATTTGTATGACTGAGTACAATAAAAATTCCCTAATTTCATGGAATCATGAGATTTTGGGCTAAAGGTACAGAAAAGAACCTCAATATACTTCTTTTGTTTCCTTTTACACTTCATAGCTTTTGAAAAGTTCACTGTTTACTAATTTTTTGCTAAGTTATACACTGCAGAATCTAAAACTAGGAAAACAATAATTTAGTCATTTGGCTTTAATGTTGAAACAGTTCTTTCAGGTCAAATATCTGATTGGTTTTCATTTTAATCAATATTTTTGACTGGCTCTTTTTCATACTGGTGCTCTCTTATGACTATATATTTATAAGTAAGAATTTAAAAATTCATTCTTCATCTATTTTTGTTGAGAATAATTGAGCAGTCATTTCTCATGCTAAAATTAATTTTCTGAGCTATGTGACCTACATCTCTAGCCCCTCTACACCCCTTATTTTTAATTTTCATACAAAGTCTGGCTAAATTGGTCAGGCTGGCTTTGAACTTAATGTCTTCTTGCCTCACTCTGCAATTTCTGGGATTACAGGTATGAGACCATATCTGGCTTTAACTATAATTCTTAAAAAATAAACTTTATTAACATTTTAAAGTTGTCAAACACAGTTTTCCTAATATTTTCCAATAATAAAATTCTTATTGTATTTTAAATAGCTAATGGTATGATTATAAAATGATGGAACTGTTTTAACAGATACGAAATAACATCAAAATCCTTTAAACTCAATGTATTTATTTCTTTTTTCACAGTAACCTAAAAGAGTCTGTAATAACCAGAAAACTTCKCTTTAGAATTATTCTAGAAACTATTTATAAATCATGAAAAAAACAAATAGATGTATTTCATGCAAGCATTAAATTTTATATTTATAGTGGTGAAAACAAATGAAATATATAAAAATAAATTTAATAAGAATGTTACTGAAATTAGATAAAAACTCAAAGCAACTTTGTTTTATATTTGAATCCCTATTGTATAGAATTATAGATAACTTGACGATGTTAAAAACTCACACCTAGTTTCAAAACTCAAAAAAGTGTTATCAATTGAAAATGTCCAAAAGAATATGCTAACTTCACTGAAGCCTATTTATAAATTTAACTGATATTTAGATGCACATTTTAAAAATTATAATCTTCTAGCTTTGCATTAGAATGTGGTTCAAAGTCTCTCCTCTAAAACAGAACAGGATTTTACTTTTCCTGTTTCTGATCTCCACTATTAAGATGTTAGAGACTCTTTCACAAATATTTTATGTATGTACACATACAAATAAATACATAATTGTATGAAAAAGCATCATAACATATACATGATGCTCTTCTTGTGGAACTCCTATTTTGACCTCTTGATTTTTTCTTTCTCTATTCCCTAATTCCTACCTCTACTCTCACACCAGAAAAAAAAAACAGTGGCATAAACTTAAGAGTTAGTATCCATGTTTTCTTCAGGTGAAAGAGAGATTTATAAATGCATTGCTTATTTTATAATAGTGAGAGTATAGCATTTGTAATTCTCTGTATCTTACTCTTTGTAAGTTCTTTACATTGTGGTAATTCTCAATTCAATTTGTTATAACTCTTTCTCTAACAGCTAATATATTTTGTTGCATAATATGAATGCACTGCTTTATCCAACCATTGCATTTTGAAGTGTGTGCTCAGTGCCTCCTTGACTAATAAGGCATGACAAATTCCTTGTATATGTCATGTCWATGTAGCTGTGCTTTATTTATAGTGTATATATAAAGGAAAATGTTAAAACCAGGGACATATTGTTTTTAAAAATTTAATGTAGATTATRTAAAATTCCTTTTCAAAAAGTTTGCTGCAATTAATATTTCCTCAGGTAGTATATGAGAGTACTACTTTTCTCAGCTCATTCAACAGTGGGTATTTTTATACACAATAATTTCTGCTAATAAAAAAGAGATTTCTGGGGTTTTCTTTGTATGTGTGTGTCCATGTGTGTATTTATTCATGACATGTAGAAAGTTGAGGTTATTTGCATTTGATTTATTGGTCATTTTGATTTGTTCATTTGTAAATTTGTTTATTCACATCCTTCATTCTTTTTAATCTTCTTTTAGATTATTTATCCTGTTCTAATCTGTTTTAATAGACAATTTTGTTACAGGCAAAAAACTACATAATTTATATACATGGTAAACATGTTTCAAGACCTATTATATATCCTTTGAATTCTTTGCTATGTGGGAAAATTACATTGTACTTGTGATGTACACTGGCTTTCCTTATTTGGATAAACTCTTCTTAACATCTATGTAACATTATTGTGTCCTAAATTTCATATCTATGGTATGAATTAGGAGTCTAATTTACTTCCAGACAAATAACCAACAACATATCACAATCCATTAAATCATCATTCTTTTTCAACTAAATATATTTTATTTACCTAAGCCACAGTCCTGTATTATTGAATTCAATTTCTTAGCTCTCTGCATTCTATTACACTGATCCTATTGTGCATTTTTATCTTAATATTTTGATAGATGCCTTCATCGTTCAGTATCAAGTAAGTTAATCTTGATGATTCCTACTACTTATATATTCCTGGGAGCTATTTCTGAGAAACAATTCTCTTCACATAATTGTTATGATGATTTTATGTCACTTTAAAAATCTTAGATTGAGAAGGTGCTATGGCCCAGGCCTGTGATCCCAGTGGCATGGGGAGTCTGAGGCAGGAGGATGCAATTTCAAAGCCACACTCAGTAAAAGCGAGGCACTGAACAACTGAGTGAGACCCTGTCTTTAAGTAAAATACAAAATAGGCTGGGGAAGTACCCCTGAGTACCAAAAAAAAAAAAAAAAAAAAAAAAAAAATCCCAAACAAACCAACCCCCCCTCCTTAATTCTTAGTTTGAAAAAGATTTTCATTAAATTTACATATCCATTTAGATGAATAGATGAATTATAATTTTAAAACTATTTATTATGAAGAAATTTGAATGAACATAAATTATAGACAAATAAATGTAAAAATTTAAAACTATCATTTGGATGATAGGAATTGATTAGGAATGTAATAGTCACATAAAAATATAAACAACTTTATGATTCTATTTTGACTGTTCCTTACCTTTTCTTTCATTTTGGTGATTGTCCAGATCAACTATGGCAGAAGAAAATATGACTCTAGTGACTGAGTTTCTTCTCACGGGACTTACAGACCGTCCAGGGCTGCAGGTGCCCCTGTTCCTGGTGTTCCTTGTGATCTACCTCATCACCATGGTGGGCAACCTTGGCCTGATTGCTCTCATCTGGAAGGACCCACACCTTCACACCCCCATGTACTTATTTCTCAGCAGTTTAGCCTTGGCTGATGCATGCACTTCATCTTCTGTGACCCCCAAGATGCTTATCAACTTTTTATCTAAGAATCATAAGATATCCCTAGCTGAGTGCTTAACACAGTTTTATTGTTTTGGCTCCAGTGCTACCACGGAATGTTTCCTCTTGTCAGTGATGGCCTATGACCGCTACGTAGCCATATGCAATCCCTTGCTATATCCAGTGATGATGTCCAATAGCCTCTGTACTCAGTTTATAGGTGCTTCATATTTTGTTGGTTTTCTACATTTAGCAATTCATGTGGGTTTGTTTGTTAGATTAACTTTCTGCAAGTCCAATATCATACATTATTTCTATTGTGAAATTTTACAACTATTCAAAATATCTTGTACTGATCCTACAATTAATATGCTTGTCATTTTAATCTTTTCATCCTTTATGCAAGCCTTCACCTTTGTAACCATTATGGTCTCGTATGCCCAGGTCCTCTTTACCATTCTTAAAAAGAAGTCCGAGAAAGGCAGACACAAAGCCTTCTCTACCTGCAGTGCCCATCTGTTCTCCGTCTCCTTGTTCTATGGCACTCTCTTCCTCACTTATGTTGGTCCAGGGTCTGGGCCAGATGAGGATAAGGAAAAAATGCTTTCTTTATTTTACACAATAATAATACCCCTGTTAAATCCTTTTATTTACAGCCTGAGAAACAAGGAGGTTATAGGTGCCTTGAGAAGAATAATAAAGAAATAAATATTTGTCATACAAGTTTCAAACTCTTCTTTACTTTTTATGGAAAAAACCAAAATCAAAACACACAAACGAAAAACAATCTTTTGGATTAGCCACTACTCTGCCATTTTACCCAAGGACAAATGGTCAGAGTGATTGCTGAGCTGTGTGTGAAGAAATCCAGTTTTTTTATTTTGAGTCCAGTGCTAAATGGGCTTTCTTAGTTATGGGTTCAGTGAAAGAGTGGTCACATTAGTCATATGAGCTTATTTAGATACATTGTGTTCCATTTTATCTTTGCATTTGCTTTTGCAAATTAGGTATTTGCTTTACCCCAGTAAAATTACAGGTAGTAATTAGTAATTTTATGGTGCAACAGTGAGAAAAATTTACTAGTAAATAGCTCTAATTGAGGATGACCTGAATAGGCAATTACTTACTTGAATAAACTTAGTTTATCTCTATGAACCTGCAAATAATAAAGTTTTGCTCTCTCTCTCTTTTTTTTCTTTTCTTTTTTCCCATACTCAGTAATGCTGCAAGACTGACTAAAATAAAACTTTGGTCATACTTATAACTTCATGCACTATTTTTTATATAGGATATTGAATATAATAAGATATTTGATAATATTTAAATTTAAGAATGATTTAGTAGAAAGATATTTCAGTTACTAGCTGTATGAATGCATTACTATTTTTATCAGTTTTACTAGATGCCCTCAGGCAGAATGCAAAGGAACTAGATCAGAGATAAGAAAATGGTTTATTATTTAATAACAGGAGCAAAAATTATATATATATATATATATATATATATATAAAATCATGTTCCTGAATTGAATGTAAATTAGTGGTTGAGAACTCATGGGCTAATTTTATACTTATAGAGAAACATGACTCAACTCTTCTTAAGTAAGACAGTTATATGCCTTGATTAATCTCTTCTCAGTGTATTTACTTAGAAAAAATGATAAAAATAAAGAATTAAATTTAAATTTGAAGTTGTTGAAGTTTGAAAATATATCTTTTTTTTCTCATACTTAGGAAACACTTCACATTTTTTCAAGCCAATACTTTCAAAAGTATACCAAAAGTTTTATCTAAAGATTTAGGTGTATGGGCCACGTGCATTGACACAGGCCTATAATCCCGGTGGCTTGGGAGGCTGAGACAGRAAGATCTTGAGTTCAAAGCCAGCCTCGCAACAAGCAAGGCCCTAAGCAACTCAGTGAGAACCTGTCTCTAAGTAAAATAAAAAACAGGGCTGGGAATGTGGCTCAGTGGTTGAGTACCCATGAGTTCAATCCCTAGTACCCTTCACCCCCCCAAAAAAGATTTACGTGTATGATATCTTTTATTACTCATCTGCTTGTCATGAACACATTTTGGGAAAAAAAATCTACTTTGGTCTTAAGATTAATTTCAATAGATGCCCAATAACAAAATTTATTAACAAAATTTATTTAAATGTATTCTATATGATTACATTCATTAACTTTTGAAAACTATTTGCATTTAGATTCACTTTGTAACAGTGTACTAAATACTGGTTTCCTTGATTTTTTTTTTTTGGTAAAATGCTCTAATTTACTATTATTATTCTTTGAGTAATTTCTCTGTTATACTTTTCATTACTTATGTTCATACAAGTAAATTTATTTTTCATGTTTATGGTACCACATATTTTATTTGGAGTTTTGTACAGATAACTATATATTATACTTATTATAATCCTTTCCAACCCTAAAATTGTACAAATATTACATAGCCAAATCTGATTTATTAAATGAAATTCCATTTATATTATTATATTACCTTGGAAAGAAAGTTTTAATAATTGAACTGTAGTCTTTTGTTTGAGAGCCTCCTGAAAAAGTGACATTTAGACAATATTGAAGTGACTCCAGATATGTACTAATTCAGCATAAATTTCTGGACTTGGTCTTAACTGATTGTTCATCAGAAGTGTTTTGGGGTATATTGTATCAGTTGTGAAGATTATATATGATTTGTATTTTATGGGATGCATTTGTACTGAAAAATGGACATGAGGGAAACATCCCTCTAGGTGCTAGGTGGTAAGCAAGTAATTTATGCTGACAGATCCTGGACCTGTACCTTCTCTGTGTTGGCATGATCTATATTGGAAAAGTTGGTACTAAGTGATTGAGATTTGGCAATCTACCTGGTTACCAAGACCTCTGCATTGCTGCTGTTTTACCTGTTTGTTATTCTGATTTTAAAGAYAAAATAAATATGGATAAAATATTTGGCCCACTAAACATTGTATAAGTCCATTGTATTTTGAAATTTGATTGTCATGGTACAATTTACAATGGTATTCTTACAACAAAAAAATTCTCAAGCAGAAGGATGGGTAGGGAGGATGAGAGACTGATCTAGATGGCTACTAGAATGGCTGGGTTTGAGGTTGAAGCTTTTTTTTTTGAGGAGAAATATGAGGGATAATCTTATGAATGGAATTTAGATGATACAGAATCAAATCTCAAGGATTAAGCAAACTGGATTAATAAGGGCAAGCAGGAAAAATGACTACAAACATTACTTAATTGTTTATTTATTTATATTTGTTTGGGGATGCTTTACCACAGAGCTCAATTTCCAGTCTTTTTGTTCTTTTTAATTCAAGACATGTTCTTGCTAAGTTGCTGAGAGTCTCAGTAAATTGCTGAGGCTGGCCTTGAACCTGGGATCCTCCTGCTTCAGTCCCTGGAATTGCTGGGATTATACCCATGCTCCATTAGCATCAACTACTATCAGGAGAACACAAAGAAATAGACTTGACATTGCAGAGAGGAGGCAAATATGCAAAACAGAGGATCATAAGAGGTTTCCTGGGAACCTGGATGATACTCTGTTTATTAAATAACTAGGAGTCAATATGCTCACTGTCCCAGATGTGGGAAGACAAGGCCCTATGACCATGGAAATTAGAGGTATTTGTTAAGTAATCAGGGCAATTTATCAGTTGATATAAACACTAGAAACTTGAGTTTTTGTTAGTCTGGATACTCAGACTGCATGATCATGAGTAATATTTTCATAGTTGGAAATCTATTCTTTCTGAATATAAGAAATTGACCTGGCTCCAATAAATTTCAGCATACAGTTCTCATTGGCGATAATGGTACACTATGGCTAAAGTAGCTTATACTGAAAAAAAAAAGGTACCTGCCCAATTTTTTCACTTCATGGTCGATAAAATACCCTGGAAAATATAGTAGAAATAACCTTATGTTGAATATGTATTAACCATAGAATTATTGTTAATTGAAAATGTCTCCAAACTATGATAAATTCAGTGATAAGGACAGTTGCTGCTTCAAATAATCTGCCTAAACAGTGCAGTGATGATAAACTTAACAAACTGCTATTACTAGGTCTCAATGATGGATGAAACTTCTGAACCATTCAAAAGAATAGGAATGATTAAGAATGTTCTGAATAGTATATAACTGCAATCCCAGCTACTTGGCAGGGTATGGCAGGAAATCAGTTTAGTCTAGAAATTTAAATCTATCACCTTGACAACACAGTGAGACACTGTCGAGAAAGAGCACGAAAGAGTGAAAAACCTCAGCAAAGCCTGTCCAAGGAAGGGGGCATGACCCTTGTCCTTGGAAAGACCCACAGAGCACTCCTAGGCACATACCCACCCTGCTGAGTTGTTTATCTACAAATATCAAGAGAGATCTGCTGCACCAGGTGTCCCTGACTCAGTCAGGCTAGGTGGAGACCCATAGCAACCCCCTAGCAACCACCAATCAGCATGAGACAGGGAAAATACCTGAGATGCCAGATGACCCTCCCAGTAGTTTATGGTGGTTGATAACATGTTGGGAAACCATGTAGTTTAGCATGTACACCCCTCTTGGCCTTAAACCAATAAGTTCAAATGAATCCCCCTCTTGTACTAAGCAATCACCCCTACCCAACTTGTTCCCACCAGTGAATGTGCTAATCAATGTTAAGAGTTGTTGTTTGATTTTCCTGCAGTGTGTGATGATTTGCTAAGAGATGCTATGATGTATGTGAATATATGATGTCCCTGCCTTCCCCCAAAGAGTGTATAAAACTGCTGCAAACCCTGGGCTCAGGGCCTCTCAACGTCACCAGTTGCTGTATGAGTGTGGAGGACCGAGGTAGCTTGCAATAAACACCTCTTTGCTGCTTACATTGATATTGGTCTCTAGTGGTCTTTGGGGGTCCTGAATTCGAGCATAACAATCTTGAGCTATTTTCCTCCACCACACTTCTGCCATGAGGTTCTGCCTCACCTCAAGCCCCAATAAGTAGAGCCTTGGACTGAGACCTCTGAAACTGTGAGACCTAAATAAACTTTTCCTCTTCTAAAATTGTTTCAGTCAGTCTTTTAGTCAACAGCAGTGAAAAAGCTGACTAAAACARTAAGTGACTTTACAAATGCTTTGTTTCAACTTCAATGTGGAAATTGATTAAAATAATACTTAATGTCAGGTTGGTGGCAGTGACTTAGGAACAAAGCACCAAGCAGCCTGAGTGCAGTAAAGAAACATCAATCAGGTGCTGATGGAAATGCCTGTCAATCAGCGGGATCTCCTGGCTAACACCTCTCAATCAGCAGGACCTCTTGACCAATCCTGGATCTCAACTCCAACTCCAGTGGGACAAGGGTCTCTAAAAACACCTTTTTCTGCCCCAAGCCCTTCCCTTCCTGCTGTAAGCTCCATAAAAATTCCAGTCCTGTCAATCTCCCACGTGGTTTCTCCTCAGACCCTTCTCCTGTCCACTCTGTTGGACTGATAGAGTTCCGTCCCTGAGTTATGTCTCAATAAAGCCTCGTTCAGCGGCCTTTTAAAATCTGCCTCCTTTGGTCACTACCCGTTGCCTGATCTCACACTTAATATACCACATGTCAATTAATATTGTTAGTTTCAATTAACATCCTTAATGCTTTTCTTTCAAAAGTAGAATTTTCAGTTTTGATGAATTTGTATATATCAGTTTTTTAATGATTAG